GATCCGCGTGGCTTGCCCAGCGCCTTTCTCTAAATTATTCGCGTTTCGAAAACAAGATAAAACATTTCCCAGAAACAGAAACATCCAAGATTATTTAGTGTGTGTATCTCTGCTCTGTCTCTGATAAATGTTTGATGTTGCGATAAAAAATCTCATGGTCCTTGGGGCCCCACATACCATATATACAAGCATCCTTTATATTTATACCATCTACAGATACATATATTCATATATATTTAATCACATTGCAGCAGAACTATGTACGTAATGTGTTAGGGCGTAATTGATATACAACTTTAGACATATATACATATTATAGAGAGATATATATATAGGAGGGGGAGAGAGCTACGTGTTTAACCCACATATAAAACCGAAAGCAAGCAATCAGCAAAGAAATATACTACCTTTCACTCTCAACACACTTCCTTTTAACACTTTTCTGCTAACACCTGACTGCCTGACTGCCTTGACTAAGCATAAATCCAACAAGTGGCCCAGGGTGAGACATGTTCTAGTGTTGTTTTGAGCTTGAGTTTCCTTGTTTCTTTTGTTTTTAATATTGAAAATATAAATATTATACGAGTAGTATTTAATCCAGTGCTTTTCCCCCAGGTACTGGCCGTTTTCCTGGCGCGTCGCTACCGCAATCAACACGATCCCTGCTACCTGCCCGCCCGCGCCGTCTTTCCCCACAATTACCTCTATTGATCGGGATACCGGAGCATGGAAGTGAACCATTTTAGTCAAAGGGACGAAGGCTGAATTCTTATTTTTACAAAAACACGTTTCCTAGCGAGAATCGAATCCAAACTCGAACAAGAGATTACTCTAAGGAGAAAGAGGAAAGAAGGGAGGAGTCAAGATGTGCTCAACACTGCTTTTATATTTTATATATATAATTTCCTTTTACCATTATATTTTCATAGCTTGCACAAAGTTAGTTGTTAATAAACACCCCATTGAGATTATGTTAAGCTATAACACCTTAAGTTGAACCGTTTCCAACGCCTCGGTTAGCTCTTAATGCCTTTCTTTGCAACTCGCAACAATCATGGACGGCTCGACGTGACGCGACTTTGAACTACTGTACCACTACGAGACAAACATTTCAACAACCTGATCTTAAAGTAGAACTAACAACCAAGTCAACAATTGTAACTAGCAACGTAATAAGTATACATCAACCTATATACAAACTTGCATTACTTGCATTATGGCCTCAGAATGGCGTATAAACAATACTCTAAATGTTAGTTGTGTGTTAAACTTAAAAACTAGCGAGAAAAGCCCGCAAAATAACAAAACAAAAAAAAAAGAGTAAAGCATACATGTCAACAATTATACATACAATTTATATAGATAAAGCCTACACACATAAGAAAACTGCTTTTTCTGTATTTTCACTCCTTTTTCCGCACTTTAGCTCGACTTTCTCTGCAGCTTCTCCTTCTCGACTTTTAACCCCGCAAAAAAAAAGCCACCAAGAACAAACACACATCACACCCGCACGCGTCTTCCTCGTCTCACACACAACACCACTCACACTCACATGGAAATAGTTTTCCCTGCAGTTCCGTTTCCTGTTTCCTTTCGAGCGACAAATAAACCATTAGATAATATTCTCTGTATTCTGTGCTGTGATTGAAGTAAATATGATCTTTAAACAACAAAAGCAAAAACGCAAATCAAGTTTTGAGTTTCATTTCCCGCATTTTCTCAGGCCCAGCCCACCTCGTGGGACTTGCGGTTTGGGATCATTAGCAAACTGTCTCGGCTTACCGCAGGCATCCTTGCTGGCCGGAAAAGGTGGCTGGCAGCGAAATGAATGATGGCGGGAGATTAGGAAGCTAGATATAAATTAACGACAGCGTGGGGGAATTTTTGTAATGAAATGCTTACGTTTAAATTTAAGCTTTTTACATGGTTTGTCATTTGAGAAGAAAGAAGTGGTTTAAAGAAATGTATATTTAGGCTTTTACTTACTTTTATAAAATTAAAGAAACTTGTTCAATCTATAAAAAAGGATGTTTATAGATACAAGAATTTATATACTCATAAGTTATGGTAAAATTAGTTGCTAGACTTAAATAATAATATAAAAAAGCTTCAAATTTTTAACGACTTCTACCCACAGTACTCGTCGTGCTCAACCGCCATAATCATCATAAGCGCCAAAAAAGATTAACGCTCGCATTTTGTTTGACGCCTCCCGCGAGGCCCAAGGAGGAGAAGCCTTAGGACCCACCCAAGCTCAGCTGGGGGACAGGAGACTCGTCAACAGCCCTCCCCAAAAAAAAAGGCTCAAACGCGAATGTGGCTCACTCAAAACTGCTCAGAATTGGGCCAAGTTCAACGCACTTCGATGCAGAAAATATTGTTCTCCGAGAGCAATGAGAGAGTGAGAAAACTGTTTGGTTACGTAACGAATGCTCAGCACAGGGGGAGCGGAAAAGGTGGTGGCCAGGAGCAACGTTTCCGCTTTTGCGTGGTGGAATGTGGGCGTGGTGGCATCGAACGGAAGGCATTCTGGATGCCGGCCTGCCACATCCTCGTCGTTTTTCCCTGCTCGCCGCTCTGTAAGTTGGTATGTAGGTAGGCCTTGTTGACACTCGCAGCGGAAATGGTCAACAACAGATGCGCCTGGCTACGGAAAATGGAAAATGCCTCCGAAGTGGCGTGTCAACGAGGCGGAGAAGTATTTATTTGTCAAATAGATCAACGAAATGAGCGACTGCGTAGGCGTTCGTATGAGCCAGAGAGACATGCAGGGACCACTGAATAAATAATAATGCACACTAAAAATAATATATCGATTTAACAGAACATGTACAATCAGGGGTTTTTGGGTGGATTTTAAATCATTTTTCAGAGGGTGAAGCCATTTAAGCTATAATTATTCAAAAGAAAACTGCTTATTTAGAATGAAGAAATATAAGCAGCTCTTTGATTACATTTAATGTTACCTTTAGACATCACTTAAACGCTTTTAAAGTTTATTTTTACACTTTTGCTGCGTATTATAATTTCCGACAGAAGCTAGAAACGCAGTGAAGGAGTCATTTCCGACCCTAAAAATCATACATATTCCTGATAAGCATCAACAGGCGAGTCTTTCTAGCCACGGATAAAAAAAACAAAGTTTTCCTTTCTTTTTTATTTTTAAAATTCTCAAAAAAGAAGAAGGCAGCTTCTTTTATTCAATTCAAGTCAGAAAATATTGCATTTTTTTAAAAAGCGTTTTATTTTCCTTTCTGATCCTTTTAATTAAATTTGAATAATAAATATATACGTTCAACTTTTTAATATCCCTTTGATTACTATTGAATTAAATATTGACCCCCTTTGTATACACTCCTTGGTTTTAGTGTGCGTGCCATTGACACGCGTCTGATATTAAAATTCCTAATGGCCTGGGCAAGGTCTTTATCCCCGAATCGACCATATGCTCGGTTCTCAACTGTTGATCCGGCCAACGTTGCGTATGAGCAATGTCTCCTCAATTGCGTGCCCTATGAGACATAAAGCCATTGCTAGTCGCGGCATAAAATACTTAATAATATTATTATGCAGCGAAATGGAAATTTCAGGCCATGTCTCTCAAGATTTCCTCCTTGTCACTGCCGGCAATTGCACGGATGCTTGAGTAACTGAGCGTTTTACAGAGCCATCAAGCTGAGCCCCTGAGCCGAGAGCCGCCACTCGATTGTCGAAAATTCATCAAAGCGCACAGTTTAGTCACCGTTTTACTGTCGCTTCTTGCTCCATCCACTGCCGGGGCCTGTTCCGCCCAACGTAATTCGTATTTACTGCCCATGTCGGTGTCGTGTCATGTTGGACTTATTATCTCCGTCTGGGCCGCAGCCAAGCATGGCGATTTTGTGCTGTCGGTCGGCCTGTGAAAGCTTGGAAATTAAGCAATAAAGAACAGGAGAAAATTTATTTGAATGTCAATGTCAAATTAAAGTCAAAAGCTCGATTGATTACAATTAATTAAGCTCAGTTGTGATCTCATCGAAAGGGAAAATTTTACAGAAATTAAATTGGTTGTTTATATGTTTTTTTTTTCTCAATGCTAGCCTCATCAGCACCTTGGCATTGAGCGAAAAAAGTGCTTTGGAATAGCTAAACAAATAGTTTATTTTGGGTAAACACTTGGAGGTAATTACCCTTAGAGAATGTGGAAATGAGTATTGAAATATTTTGGCGTAAAGCACAGCAGATTTTTACCATATTTTCTTGCTTGGTTATTGATCAACATGCTCTCCCTTTGTTTTGTCACTCTCGATTGCTTTTTATTTACAGAATATATTGTAATTTATTCAAGGCTTCCACTTGAAGCAGCATTTCCATTAGGAAAAATCCCTTGCAAGTGTCTGATACAATAAAATCCTCAATCCGCTTCAATGGGAAACGTTTTACGACCCTCATAAAACGAAATGAATAAGCAAACATCAACTTGGTTAGTTTTCTTTATAGCCTGCAATGCCGACCTACAGCGAAGTTATGATGTTGTGGCGTACATGGCGTATGCGCAACGTCCCTTTGTACAGCTCTTGCATTGCGTATACGCCAGGGTGTCCCAAGGGAACCTGGTTTTCAATTTTTCAACACCTTTAAGGTTTTTAAGTGCACATTAAAATATAATTAAATCCAGCCCAAGTCCTGTCCATAGGACTTGGTAATTAAGCAGGCGCTTGTGGAAAGGACTGCGCAGCAGCTGTTGCACACAACCCCTCTTCTCTACTTGATTTTCACTCCGTTTATTCTCTTTTTTTTCGAGTGAGACGAGTGCGATTTTAGAGGAAATTGTAAACAATTTTATTGACTCAACTGTACACTGTAATTAAATACCCCCTAGCTATTGAGGTTCGTGTGCGATTCGAGTGAGTCTGCGTTGAGTGGAAAGCGAGAGAGAGCGAGTGCCAGCGGATGCCGAGTGAGTGGCAGAGTCAACAATTTCGCCTGGTGGGACTCCCCTCGTCAGTTGGTTCTTAAACCTCGCGCAGCTCTGGTCGTCGCTCTCCGTGTCCGTGTGCCCGTTTCCGTGTCCGTGTGCCTGTGCGAAAAGAAGGGGGGAAAAGCTACCACAGAGAGGGAGAGAAAGCATTCCTACTAGCTTCACGTGCCTGCAGATAAACAAAGCAATCGAAATACCACAGAGTATAGCGACGGAAAAATAGTGCTTTGCTTTCATTTTTTGTGCATATCGGTAGAGTTGTAACTACAGACCAACTTAACTCTCCAACCCCCCCACAACAACAACACCTAGAACTCTTTACGTAAGTCTGCAGGACAGGAAAACCGTATATATTTAAGTAATATTCCAACAGTCAGCAGTAGTTTGACGAAAAACTTTCTTTGTGAAGAAAATCAATAGCTCAATTCTTAGTGTTATCCTGTCGCAGGATACACACACACACTGACACACACACCGCCTAGGTACATCTGCTTGCAACAAGGGTTCTTGAAATAATTGAAAAAGTTCTCGGGAGAATAGGGAACAAGATAATTATATCAACCCTCCACAGAGCTACCCCTTTTGCGCTCCTATTGTACTATATATGTATATATGTTATATATGTTCCTTTTATTTTGCCTGCATCAGCTGGATATATGCATAGCTGTGCATTGGAACGGTTCAGCAAACGCTTTCAAGGCTATATACACGTTAATGGGTCAACATTGTTTGCAGAAACGGAAATGGATTATCCGAGTTGCAAGTCGCGGGGGATGATTGATGTTGCCAGTGAGAGGTTTGAGCTGGAAAGTATCAAATAATAACAGAAAGGTTTCTTAAAAAGGTTTTTTGTTGTTGTTTTTGTTCAATATTTTAAGGCAAGAGTATGTTTAATAATATATAAAAGAGAACGAATGCTCTCAAAGAAATAATTAATATTTTTTAAAGGTTGTGCCGTAAAATATCCTCCTCAGAATTAATGAGCCTCCGATAAACCTTCAAAACTCCTGTTTAATAAATGCTTCTTAAAGTCTCTTCCAATAAATCTCATAACATAATCCCCTGCTTATGTCAAGTCCCTTTCCGAGTCTGTGCAACAGTTTCCTCTGCTTTTCTTTATCCCTATTTCAAATTCAAGGCATAGCCAGCAGCCGAGTAAATATGACTGGAAACAAGTATAAACAAAGTGGACAAATTGAGGACCTCGCAGTCCTCCCGCCCACTTTTGAGTGCCTTCTGCCTGGTCAAGCTAATTGTGGTTGGCCTTGAACTTTCGCCAAGCGGAACAAGAACACAAAAAAAAAAAAAAATAAGATACTTGGTTGCAGAGTGTGGCATAACTTTGGGGGCTGGGGGCAGCCGGTTGTGTTGGCTAAACGTGTCCAATCTTTGGGGCAAAGTAATGCGAAAAGTGCCAGCGGATAAGCCCTCACAAAACGAAGTGCTAAAACATTTTGCTAGTCTGGCTGGGTCTGCAAACATTTCAAGGACTCCCTGAAAACACAACACCCCTAGCGCTCATGAGTACTCGCATTGATGTTGGCACGTGACGTTTCCCTGACGTTTTTTTAATTAAAAGCCTTCAAAATGCTTTGTGCGCGCTTTACCCACTTTTCCTGTACACAAAGAAAAATTAATGAAAACTAAACAGAAAAATATAAAATATCAGTTTTAAAAAGAATAAATCATTGAGCTTATATAATTCGAACATTAAACTATAACAAAAAAGGAAAATTGTTGAAGAACTTGAAATGGATACATTTCTCAATTTTTATATAATTTTTGTAATTTTTTTATCATTGCTAATGACTAATTTTGAACTTACATTACAACCAAATATGGAAATGAATCATGTAAAAATATTTCTAAAATTTTATTTTATAAAAAGTCTTACAAATTTCACTTAAATTAAATATGGTTTTAAAAAATCGTAATAGGTATTAATGTAAATGAATAAATCAATAAATAAAACCTTTCTTTAGTGTAGTTTTGTGGCCTGCGGCACGGCTTGTTTAGGCCTCAGAATGTGAAACGCATTTAAATGGGCTTAGCGTGCCCTTTCGAGAAGATGCTGCCAATTTGCACATCGGAATTACGGGCTATTAAAATTCCATTTGCGTTTTAATTTCTCATTCTCGATTTCGCTTCTGTTTTTCCTGCAGGGTCCCACGATGTCGCTGCTCACGGGCAACAGCCACTCGCTCTCCGAGGAGGAACTCGACGAGTAAGTACCACCCGCATAGCACCAACTTTGGGGACCCAACTTTGGCCCAACTTGGCGGAGAATTAACAGGTCTGGCTTCCAACTTGGGCTGACTTAATTCAAAGTTTTTGTTTTTACTCGCCCGCAACTTTGGGTTTTGCAAAAACACCCACAATGGTAGGGCTATAAATTTCAACTTTGGTGACAAAACTTCTCAACCGACTAACAATGTGGGGGCTGCTTCAGAGGGACAAGTTGGTAATGCCGGTGTGCCAATTGTGTTACCAATTTGCTACGAAGGTTGCCACCAAAATACATTGCATTCTTTTAGGGAGAAACAATAAATAATGGGAAAACTTTGGGCCTTTGTTGAGATGCCAAGAAGATGTTACTTTCAATATTGTATTATTTTAGTTATTTATAAAAAATATATATATTTATATATAAATACCATCACCTTGGCAGTTTTTCTATCAATTTATCGTTTTCTTTATTAAATTCCAACCTGTTCCTGTATTTTATGCTCAGGCTTCCTTTACCAAATTACAATTTCTTCCTGGAACACTTCCCCCGATGACAGGAAATCATAACTAATTGGTTTAAGCATAATCGCATAACAGCGGCAAAACACAAATTGCCATTAATTACTGGCCCTTTCAGCTATCAGCATTCGGGGAGCCAGAGTATTATGTCAGCCAAAGCAAAAACCTATAAATAGTAGATATCGCAGCCCACGATTTGCCCAGTTTTGGCAGAGAAAATGTGCAAATGAAAGGGAAACCCACCCTGCAGTTCTATTATCAGACCCTATACGACCTTGGTTAGGGAGTGGGTGTTCCCACCCACTCTTCTGGCATTGCTCATACGCACAGTAGTCCCAAGTTCAAAGCCAGCGAAACAATAACAAGACAATTATCGATTGGGACAGGGCCCGGCATATGCCAGGCCGCCAGAAAGCCATATTGCCAGCCAACCAAACCGCCCCCTCATCCAAAATGGAGTGGGTGCGTCTCCTGGGCCGATGCCAGTGGCAGTGCCAGTGATGTGTGAGTAATGCAATTTGGGATGACATCACGACATCATGACTGGCCCTGGCTTTTGCTTTCTTAACTCGATTTACCATTTCTTTTCTCTCTTTGAGAGAGGAGGAGAAAGTGATCCCTTAATCAGCAGCCTGCATTGTTCGCAGCTTCATTTGCATTTCCCATCTCATTGTTGTGGACTTGGCCTGGTCTTTCGCCTGACTTTCGCCCCTTTGCCCTTGGCAATTAACCATCCAGGTCTTATCGGAGGCCTGCAGAAACGCTTAAGAGCTTTGGCCAGGCAATTGCAATTACAATTTTCCCCCTCCTGGGGAAAGAAGGAAATGTGTGAGCAGCTGAATGGGCTTACCCACCTTAAAGGATCCATTTAAAGCTCTCTGATTAATGGTCGACCCCGTGACGTGACAAATGCAAAACTCATTCAAAGCTGGCAAAGCTTTTACTCGGTCTGAAAGAAGTTCCCCTTGCAGAGGAATCGATTTTTGAACTAGGGAATAAGTGTGTATAGTCACTGGGAAAAAAGAGGTAGTAAGGCTAAAAGAAATATTATTTTGTATTTGAAAGAAATTCCTTGAAAATACAGTTTATTTAATATATATGACATTTTCAATATTTTAAACACCTTTAATCTTTGTTTTACAAATTTCCTCGTAAGCTTATGAATATTTGTAACCCACTCTGGGTCACCCATAAATAGATCAAGTGTATGTGGGTTCACTGATGAGGGACACACAAAGAGAAAGACTAGATGTATGCCACTGACATTTGTTGCTGCCACTGACAGCCAAGTTAACACAGGCTGAGTACCCAAGTGGAATGACCCAAAGAAAAGACTTGAAATGGCCAAGATTGTCTACTCATCTCACGTTACCAAGGGTTCCTCAAGAAGCTCTCTCACATGATATGAAAATATATACTATAGTCTTGCTTTTTCGATAATGGCTTTTTGTTTATTAATGAGTTCAAACAAACATCAAAGAATAGTTTTTTCATTTGGCTTATATAAACAGTGATTTTGTTTGGCTTTGCAGCTGGTGAATTCAATCAATGGAGCGGCTGTTGGCCAAGTTAATTACGAGTTTTGGCCATTAAGTGAATTCCACCGAACGCTAGTCGCTCACAGCTCGATTGCGACCTCAAAAATCTACTTGTGAGCCCCGTCACGTACATAAAGTACGCAAGCTGCCCCTCTCTTTCTATTCCGCTCTGGCTGTCTCTTTCTTTTTGTCTCTTTCTCTCCCTCTCTTACTGTCTCTGTTATTATTGCTCTCCCTCTCCTCGTTGCTGAGGCAACACAGACGAGCCCCCTTTTTGCCTGTTTTTGACTAAGCTTTGTTTTTGCCTCTGCCTTTGCTCATTTCATTACTTTTGATACCCTGTAACTTGAATATGGAGCAGTGTTTTTGTGGGGAATATATATTTTTAATACCTTGAAAGGATTAATTGAATAATCCTATACCTATAGGTTCACAAGGGTTGCAACGCAGTGGAAGATTTATTTCCGATTCTATAAATCTTTGCTGGTTTTGTCTAGATTCTGTCAGAAATAAAACTGTGATTTATTTACTTTATATATTTTTCTTATTTTGTAAATCAGTGTAAAGTTTGTTATTGAAAAAAAGGGACGTCACAATATACCTGAACTAAGCATGTGATCTTATTGACGATTTTTTTTAAATATTAAATTTATGGACATTATTTTCATTAGCTTATCATCATCTTTTCAAATAAATCCTATGGCTTATGATGTATAAATCATTAAAGTCTAGGGATTAATGGGTACCTGTGAGTCTCTGACTTGACTTTTTAGCTATTTCCCCTGCTTTATTTGAGTTCAAGTTTTCTTTTTTTTTCGTGCTGATTGTCTCGGACTTTGTTTGCTTATGTACAGACATATATGTATATAGTATATATACCGCTTAGCTGTACACTTGTACACTGGGCTCCACCTCGTTGGTCTGTCTTCAGCTGTCGTATGTTTATGTATATTTTATGGCCTGGCTTTGGACAACAAAGCACCGACAACGGATGACGCAGAGCTGACTAGGCTGTAATGGTGGTAGGCTGCATTGTTCACATTCCTCCTGGTCCAACTATAATAGGATACATATTTGCCAGAAAAAATAAATATTAGTGAGACGGTGCTTGAGACGATAAAAATAAACCAATAATTATATACAAGTATTTTCTAATTTGGCTTGGTTTGTTTGCATCTCATTTGCAAATATCAGAGTTGAAGAATGTGAAACAACGACGGTGGTGTCTGAAAACCAGTTTAAAATATGCTTGCTTAAATATTCCAAAATTGATTTGCATATTGGCGGAATTAAGGCAATGGTCCGGCTGATCGAACCGCTACAAACACCCTGTTTGTAATACAAATAGAACAGCGAAATTGCAAATAATTGGATTACGCAAATCTGTTATGCTCCCACTGCAATTTCAACCTGAGAATTGCACTTGATTAAGGCTGGCATAGAGGAGGCTATGAACTGATAACAAGCAGAGACCTTGCCCCAAGACGAGCACGTTTTCCATTACAGCATCGCAACGAGAATATAAAATGTATTAATATATTTGTGATTTGTGTAATCGAATTGCGCAGCATAAGTCTGGGACTCCCGTTTCTAGCAAAAGATAATGCTGAAAGTCCCATAGTTTGCCTTATAAGTATATGTCTGTGTACGTGTGTTTCGTCTGCTACCGGTCTGTAAACTGGTTATATTTAACAGCCATCTAACAGAGCTCTGTTAGGCGGTCTATATAAGGCCCGGCGAAACCAAAGAAATTTTTTTAGTTTCGCTTGAAGCGCTGACGTGTATATATATTTCTCTATTTCGAACGTCTCACCGGTTTGTTTTTGGCTCGTGCGTTGCTAGTTTTTTATTGTGACTCCAAAAGGACATTAAGGAGGTGACATCATCATGCCGCCCACGATTACAGATAATCAGTCGCATGACTTCAAGGCCCACTACGACTGCGCCCACAGGTCCTCGCTGCAGGACGACGAGACCGATGATGCATACGTGAAGAAGATAACGCGGTAAGGATGCTGAAACCGGTTTCTTGCAGCTGCAGCTGTCCTTCGGAAGGACGAGGGTTGTTGCAATTGGCGGGAAGTTAAGGAAATGCAATGAAAACTACATATATAGAGGAATTTGTTTACCAGTAATATTAATCGGAATATTTTTGCCTTTCATTAGTCTTCTTTCTTATATTATTACTTGTAAACATATTCCTAAGTATCACTAATTTCTCTCTCTGTACTGACTAATCAAACTGTGCATCTGGCTGCTGCATTGCGGTCTTTAGTTAGCTCTGTGACAAATCCGTGTGCCTTGTTGGCACATTAATTCCCAAATCCATACCACTCTGAGAGCAACACGAAGAGGTATTGCCTCAGGGCGAGAGCCAGAGCCAAACACAGTGGCAAACCGCAAGAGATTCGGCCTAAACGCTCTGCCAGTTGGCCAAATATTTGCACAGGCCGGTGGGTGTGTCGCCTAAGCGATTACCCTGTCTTCAATTTCAAAAAATATAAACTATTTTTTCAGTCAGCAGCTGCTCACCGCTGCGATCCGGTTTCCTAGACCAACAAATCAAGAGACGCCAATTTTGTTTATGTATTATATATTATAATAATCGGATGTTTGTCGTGGAACTTCCGACATACGAAATACGAAAAGTATATATATACAATTTTGCTTATCAATCAAGGTCAAGTCACCGCGAAGATACTTTTGTGATTATGCTCTAGTCAGAGGAATTTCGTTTTTTGTTTTGCTCTTGCTTCTAGCATGTTTTTTTCCGACTTGCCCGTTTGACGCACTTGATAATGGAATATCGATGGGCGGTGGCAGCCCCTGCTACGAGGGGGGTCTCTATAAATAATGTCACTAATACATCAGAGTTTCCTCATACGGAATTTGATTAGTAAACCAAAATTCAAAGCTGACATTTGAACCTTATAGAAATGAGAGCTTTAAATGCTTGATCATGGTTGCGTGGCAAAAAAAGTATGGTATTGAATTCATTAAAAAATATTTTGTATATGTAATGGAATTTTTATAATAGAGGGATTTTATTAAAATCACAAATGTTTAAAAATAAATACATCAAATATATACAAAAACCTAGAGTGACTAAGGGGCCAACCTTTAAGTTAACACATACTTATATGTGGCTCACGCGATATAAACCAAAATAATGCCCACAGATGACGAAATATATTTCCTGCTGATTAAACTTCTGGGGGCTTGTTCGCTCAGTTTCTAGGAAATAGATAACATTTGCTTTTATCACATCAAAAGCTGTTTTCAGTGGGTTGTCAGCTGAAAGTAATTAACTTTTTCCATTCACTTGGCCTAACGAGGGTTCTTATTGTGATATAATGCCTGCTATAGCTCATAACTCAATTTGCATTTTGGGTTATTACAGATACTCCGATGGCACCGTCAAATTGCGCAACTCAAACATCGAGCTCATGGACCAGGACATCCTCTATCACCTGGCACTGGGCAGCGAGAGCCACGACCTGCAGGAGATGTTTGGCGACGTTAAGGTGAGTCAGGCCTCCGCCAACCTCTTGAATTATTCATTATCTTAACCGGCTGAAAGAGGCGGCGACTAGACCCAGACCTAGACCTTGTTTGTTATCAAATCAAGTGGAGCACCAACGAAACGAGTTGCTAAACCAATTTACTTAATTATATGCTTGGCCAGATTTATTAACTTTTCCTAATGACAATGAGTATAAGCCTTAATAATGAACTAGTCATAATTATTCTTTAACTAATATTTTCCCCTCTCTTTAGTTTGTTTGCATGGGTGGAACACCAAAGCGCATGGAGAACTTTGCCCACTTCATCATGAACGAAATAGGCTACAAGCTGCCTGCTGGAACTCAGCTCCAGGACATCAGTGCCTACTCATACCGCTACTCAATGTACAAGGTTGGCCCCGTGCTCTGCGTCAGTCACGGCATGGGCACACCCTCGGTCAGCATCCTTATGCACGAGATGATCAAGCTGATGTACCATGCCAAGTGCAAGGACCCCGTCTTTATCAGGATCGGCACCTGCGGTGGCGTAGGCGTGGAGGGCGGCACTGTCATCATCACCGAGGACGCTCTGGATGGCCAGCTACGTAATTCCCATGAATTTGTGAGTATAATTAGGGTGTCAAGTATAGGGGCACTTAAATCTCAAGTGGGCGTTAGATACTTTTTAGAAATATATAATTTTTGGTTACGGTTTAAACGGTTTTTTAATCAGGTTTAAATTAAATATTTACTATCATATATTTTCGTTTTTTTATGAGTCATTTATCATACAAAGGGAAGTAAAAATGTCATTAGTTTTTCTATAAAATTACTAGTATTAAAGTTTCTTATTTATGTACCTTTGCCGGTTATAAAATTTAAAGTTAGGAGTTGGCAACGCAGTAAAGGGGTGATAGGGAAGGGAAAAATAGCATAGCCAAGCTTTTCTTACCTTTCTGCTCTCTCTACAGACCATTCTGGGCGAAACCATTCACCGTCCTGCCAAGCTGGACAAGAAGCTAGCCCGCGAGCTGAAAGCCCTGGCCACAGCCGACGATCCGTATGATACCATTATTGGCAAGACACTCTGCACGAATGATTTCTACGAGGGCCAAGGACGATTAGACGGTGCCTTCTGCGAGTTCAGCGAGAACGACAAGATGGCCTATCTGGAGAAGCTGCGCGACAATGGAGTGGTCAACATCGAGATGGAGAGCACCATTTTCGCGGCCCTGACTCACCATGCCGGCATCAAGGCTGCGGTGGTGTGCGTGGCTTTGCTGAATCGCCTTAACGGCGACCAGGTCAACGCCCCCAAGGAGGTCATGCACGAGTGGCAGCAGGTGGGTGTCAAAAATCAATATTCCCCCAAGATTGTACTTAACAGAGATTATTTTTACAGCGTCCCCAAATCCTTGTGGCGCGATATATTCGCAAGGTGCTATCGCACAATGGCCAGCTGAAGTCGCTCTTCGGTCACCAGGGCTCCATCAAGTCCCCCAGGCGCTTCAAGCTCGTCCAGCAGGAGTCCCAGGCCCACGAGTAATCGGGAGTTCGAGGGGATCCAAGAGTTTCGTTTAAAGTTACCTTCTTACTCTATATATATATGTGCGCATCTCTCCAGTATACAACGGTGTTTCAACATTCCCTAGTTTAGCTCTGATTAAGTTCCTAGCTTTATTTCTGTGTATATCGCCCTCTCAACCTCATAAGATAATTTAAACCCCAGCATATTGTATGTATATTCATTGAGCTGCTTAATGCTGATCTATTGTTACCACAAATCTAATATATATAAAAATAGCATCACCGCGTGTGGCGTTCAAAGGTTATCAGAAATAAAGGCTTTTGAGATCACCAGATGGTTTGTGGAAAAAACAAGCCTATAAAACACGAATCATATATTTAAACGAAATATAATTGTTAATTGTTATGTTGCATATTTTGAATGGGGCTAAGCGAGCAGGAAGTTTAACAATAATAAACACACTTAACTATAACAATTAATACTAAATTCAAATTTCATAAATTATTCTATTATATTATATTGAAATTCCTAAACATTTGTTCAATGTACATGTTGATTAATGTTGCTACCGTACACTCAAACTCTAAACCAAAAACCAGCAGCAGTTGAAATTATTCTATCAAGTTCTGTCAACTCAAAATAGAAGAATACCAAATAGAACAAAATGCTGAAAATAAACATCAATATGATTACGGAAAGCACATGAAAAATATACAAGTTATATTGTAAAAACGAAATTTATGAAAAAAACAAAAACATATTTCAATGGTATATTAAAAACAAATTGTAATTAAATTATACAACAAGGTATTTGCTATTATTTTGTGGGATCAATTTGGATTAACAGATGCGGTATATGTATCTTGGTCAGTTAAGGTAAGCTAATTTAGAGACAAAGTTAAAAAAAAATAGTCCTTCCAAAAAGGTTATTATTTCCATTAAGTCTTTTAAAAATACAACAAAACACATTCCACCTTTTTACAACCTATTAAGGCTGTAGCATTTTATTTTTAATTGATAAAAATAAAACATACATGTTGCAGTTCAAGTTGATTGACTAAGAAATACCTGGTACAAATGTCTTTAAAGGGAAATACTGTCATGATGCATTCTTAAACATAAATAAATAAATTTCCTAAAGCCAAAATACATATTATAATAACCTTGTACCCTGGAAACCCCATTCTCATAAATACAACATACCCTTCCATTTTTCGAGTACCCTTTCTTTTTCTTTCACTTGCCTCTCTTGAAAGAAATATATACACTGCAAGGCGGGATAGTTTCCAACCTCCAGTTCCTCAGTCTATTGCCGGCAGTCAAAGCAAACGGATCGTGTCGGTCAGTGGAACGTGCTATAGTTTACAAGTGTCATGGATGCCACGTGTCTTGATTAACAATTAATAATACTCAGACAAAAATAAGACGAGATCAGAAGTGCGCTTTTTATTACAACAGACAACTGTGTGTAATATTTACTCAATCATACAGATAAGCCCATGTAACACAAATAATTTTGCAAAATATGTATAGATTGTTGTCTATATGTGTAAAAACTAAAGTTTTCATTGAGCGCATATAGATAAGATTAGGAAATTGGCAACGACCACTTGGTTGCCGGCATTTAAACAAACATTTTTCAAGGGCACAGAAATCGTATATCAAATAATATATATTTTCCAAATCGAAAACAAATATATATATTGTCTTGTTTTTAGATTCTCTATTTTGTTATAAAATAATCACTTGGAAACACACTTAAAATGTCGAATAGGTAAGTTGCCAGGACTAATTATATTTTTTTTAAGTGAAAATAACTGAAAGAGTTTGATCGGCAGCGTTCCCGAATTGTTGAATCCCAACTTGAAGGCCATGCCCTCGGACTATTTGTACCACCTGGACATAAATGTTGCCAACACAAATGACACCAGTGACATCCAGCAGAGATTCGGGGATGTCAAGGTGAGTCTTTGAAATTGTATACCTCCCTTAAGGCTCTAAGGAAGATATTTGCAGGTGGTCTGCATGGGTGGAACTGGTTCCCGCATGCGGGCTCTAGCTGTTTATCTGTCGGAGGTTCTGGGACTGCCAGACTCTAGCGATCCAGAGGATCTTTGTGCACGGGGACACCGCTATGCCATGTACAAGGTGGGACCGGTGCTGTGCTGCAGCCATGGCGTGGGCTCCTCTACGTTTAGCGTGGTTCTACACGAACTGCTCAAGCTGGTCAAGTACGCCGGCTGCCAGGATCCCATCTTCCTGAGAATCGGTACGTGCGGTGGCCTCGGAGTGCCACCTGGCACAGTGGTGGTCACCAAGGATGCGTTCAATGGGCTGTTGCGCAATGAACATGAAATTGTAAGTGATTATTAGTTCTTTATAAAAAATATTAATCTCGAAACTTAGGGTTTCCAAAACAAAAAAAAATTATTCTGATTACAAATATTCCTTGAAAATTATTATTAAATTATTATGTAAAATAGGGATAAACCCATGATGACTTCTCAAATGTATTTCCCAGGCAATTCTCGGTCAGCGTGTGGTGCGACCTGCTAAGTTCTCCGAGGAGGTGATCAAGGACATCATGGCATATGGTGTCGAGGCTAAGGACAGTTTTCAAACCGTAAGTGGCAACACGATGGGCACAGACTGCTTCTACGAGGGTAAGTGGTACGAGTTCCCAGAAAAACTTCGATGCTCAATTGGGTTTGAATTGACCCAGGTCAGGGACGTACCGATGGCGCCATATGCGAGTACTCCGACGAAGATAAGATGACTTTCTTGAAGAAGTGCCATAGCCTGGGGATTCTCAACATCGAGATGGAGGCCAGCATGTTTGCCTCTGTGACCCAGAAGGTTGGGGTCAAGGCCGGTGATGTCTGCGTGACCATTATTAATCGCCTCAATGGGGATCAGGTGAGCGGAATAGCTATATAGGTTTTTAAAAAACAACCAAACAAAATACATTCTCCAGGTCACCATCACCATGGACCAGAAGCACGAGTTCGAGAAACGTCCCTTCCTCGTCGTGGGCCGCTACATAAAGAAACTTCTCCTGCACTAACCGGACCTTGGCGTAATACTGTACCTCCAAGAAATACGAACCTATAGCATTTCGATCTTTATTTTCATTTAAGTAAATACAATTAAATCTCTTGAATTAGAAGCTTATTGCTGGTGTTCAGGTTATCCTGTGGCATGCGGAACATTGCCGGCATCGCTTCGTTGGACGGCAGGTTGGACTGGACTGGTTTCTTGGGTGAATTGCCCTGTGGAGCTTGGAACTTATTGCCCAAAGCCTGGGCAGCCGAAACCAGTTTGCTGTTGACCACACGATTCGGCTTGACCAGCTCGGCCAGATCGTATTCCTTAACTGGCGGAGCATCAGCCACAGTCGGCTTCTTGGCCAAAGTTGGTTTCTTGGCCACTGGTGGTGGCACTTTCTTCACTACTGTTGTTTGCTTGTCTGCTGGTGGCTTTACTTCAGTCTTTTCCTTGGGCTTTCCAGCATCGGCATCTGGTTTCAGCTCCTCGATCATCAAACGCGTGGCACTGGCCGGGGCTAATTCACCCAACTGGGAATTTAAATTCTTCAGAGACTGCTTGGCACTAGCATTCTCGGGATCCAATTCCAGAACGCGCTGGTACAGGTAATAAGACTACGAACAAAGAGGAAATATAACCCTTGTATTTTTGTAATAAAATGTTTATTTACCTCACGACGTTTTCCTCGGGCATAGTTTGCATCCGCCAGGCGGAGACGGGCCTTAATATTTTCCGGCTCCAGCTGCAGACACGCCTCACAGTCCATTATAGCAGCCACATAGTTACTTTGTTTCATATCTTATTAAAAATATATAATTATATAAAAAAAAAACAATTCAATTTTCTTTAATATTCATTATCACTTACAAGATATAGCCCGATTGTTGTAAGACCGGGCTGCGTTCTCCGGATCATATAAAATGGCACAGTTATACTCTTCAATGGCACTATCATACTCCTTGGCCTTGAAGTATTCATTTCCACGGAGTCGGTGTCTTAAAGGAAAATATGAAAATTATATATATATGTATATATTAAGGGAAAATACTGGACACCCACTTGTCTGCAAATTGCTCACGTTCCAACTGGCTAAGTCTCTTTAGCTGCGTTTGTAGGCGTTCATACATGGCCTGCTTTTCGTCCTTTAGCTCTTTTTTGGTAGCTGGTTTGTCTTTAATGGAAATCTTCAAATCGGCCTCCTCCTTGCTGCGCTCTTCATCCAGATCCATGCGCAGTATTTCCTCGTCGGGATCGTACTTATCCCACTTACTGTAGTCCGTTGACTTGATCCGGCTTTCCTTGGCCTTTGCTGGCTGTGATGATGCAGCAGGGGTGGGCTTTGCTGGCTCAGGGCTCGGTTTGTCCAGCTCTATTTTGCCCAGTTTCCGTATAGAAGGTAGATCTAGGGACTGTTTTTCGTTTTTTAACTCGTTCAAGGCACTATCCTTTGTTTTAATGTCTTGGGTCCAATCCTTAAGCGACAAGAAGTATGTTACACTTGAAAGACTTTAAAATTAAAATAAGATAACATACCAAAATGGGCTTCAGCTCCTTCTTGTCCAGTATATCACTCTTCTTGATGTTCTCCTCGTAGCGAAACAATTTGCTGTCTGGCTTTAGCAGCTTTAACTTTTCCTCTGAGCAGCGCAAGAGGTCTGGAAAATATCCCTCCTCGCCAGAACGCAGGATATGCACAATTTTCTCCATTTCCCGAGCATTTTTGCACGTCTCCACGTAGGCAAAGTCCAGGTGGCTTATTGGTATTTCATATTTCTCCAAGAGAGTTTTTTTCTTTTCCGACTGCATTTTTTTCGCTTTGTAGTGGGAACTGAATGAAAAAGCTGTTATGGGTTTGTTGTTTTGAATCGAAATTATTGATCAAGCAATAAGTTGCCGGCTTGCTTGGTTACAATAATATATGATTGGTTAGCATAGGTTTAAAGTAAAATTAAAGTAAGTCCAACCTATCATGGTATTCTATAAAAAGGTTTCAAAATTATTTACCAAAATGTTGAATAAATTTATGTAAATAAAATCGTTTATTTAAAATTAATGTATTTCGACTCTCTACGTACTATAAGCTAATTACAAGGTTAAAAAATTCTTCCATCAACGCCAATGCTTGACTAAAAAAATACATCACCTTTGCTTTTTCTATTGTTTATAGTATAAAGATTAAAATTATTTTTACAAAACACAAAAGTCTTATTCACTGCAACGAAAACAACCCCGTCTGCCAGAATTTAAGGCTGTGGCACAAAATTGTATTTTAGCAGCACCCCGACATCAAGGTTCTATGGTGTAATGGTTAGCACTCTGGACTTTGAATCCAGCGATCCGAGTTCAAATCTCGGTAGAACCTTCTGAAAAGTTTTTATTTTTCTTCCTTTTTTAAATGTATTTTGTTGTTAGAATCCCTGTTAAATTTAATTTATCTCATTAATATTCCATATTTTGAAATAAGTCAAGTGAAAAATTACTTATTTGCAGCCATTGTTCTGGCCGCAGTCTATGTTTCGTTTTGTGCAAAACGGACTCCACGGTTCTATGGTGTAATGGTTAGCACTCTGGACTTTGAATCCAGCGATCCGAGTTCAAATCTCGGTAGAACCTACAGTTTTTTTTTTATTTTTATATAATTAATTTATTTTTAATTTGTTTTGTTTTTATGAATTTTTTTTTTTATTAATAAATTTTATTAATTATTAAAATTTAATTTAAAGGTGAACAAGGAAATTAAAACAGTAAAAAATAATTATTTAATTATGTTGTACTGTTTTAATTTCCTTGAACCTTCTTAACGAGCCAATTCTTGAGGGTTCCAGCAAACTCATCAAAAAATGCAATTGTCCTCTTTCGTTCTTCATCCGTCACCCCATCGATATTAGAAATGTCCATTTGATAGATTTTTTTCGAATCACCAATCGCTGTAGAATTCTCGGCAACAAGTCTGTTCAGTCTCTGCCTCTGGTCGGCCGGCATATACCTTGAAACTTGGTTATAAATAAACACTAAGTCATGTAGGTTCTTCACTTTGTCTTCAAAGCTCTGGGAGTCGGTCATAAGTTGTGAAACTTCCCCTAACTGAAATTGAGCCTCTTGACGTGTATAGCCCAGACAGATGGGACTTAAGAAAAGTAGTAGAAAACACCTGAAAACTCTCCGTTTTAGTAAGAAAATAATAAAATAATGCTTGGGATTACTTACCCCAGGTATATAGACAATTTCATATTGTTAAGCCTGATCAAGACGCCGGAGTAAACAGAACTGATATTCTGGGCGGAAAGAAGCTGAATTTATTGGAGAAATTGGAATTGGAAAAAGAGCAATAAGTCCTTGCTATCAAGGAAATGTTTAATTAATTGATAGTCTTTAGGCTTATCAAGAGACAGTTTGCAATTTACAAGAGAGGCTGTTTGTCTCTGGGTGTCATTTACAATCAGCTCAGATCTTTACCACGGGATAACCCAATCTCCTAGAAATTCTTTTCACATAAATCTTTTTCTTTTACATAAATAAAGGATGTCATCTGAGGCTTTATAAGACTTTATAAGAAACTTTTTGATTTAAAATTCTCAAAAAAAAAAAATGGTTTCCATAAGGGTGCACAAATAATTTTTTTTAGCTGTTATAAGTGAAGCAGTGCAACAAAACTGCTTGCAACAATGTTACTATTATTAAAAAAAAATTAAGCAACAATTTCAAAATTATTAATTTTTACTGTTTGAATATTTATGAAGAATGCTAAGTAGCCAATAGTAGATGGTTCCACCTAGTTCATTAAAAAATCCAACAGACGTCTCACTAGCTACACTGGACAGCACTCGGGCTGCATACTTGCTCATGCGTCCTCCCTGGCTTGGCACACCATCCACCAAAATAGGGTTCGTATGCGCGGCGACAAGTCTGTCCAGCCTCAGTCTCTGCTCGGGTGGCATATAAGGCGAAACCCGATTATATAGGGCCACTAAGTTCGGTGTGTTTACGATTTTGGATCGGGCATCTTGGGAGGTGTGCATAATATCTATAACTCTCTGTTTTTCAGCTAGAACCTGTCGAGATGTAAAGCCCAGGCAGAGGGGACCTAAGAAAAGTAGGAAAAAACACCTGAAAACTGGGTATTTTAGTAATAAATTAAGAAATAATTTGTAGGATTACTTACCCCAGAAATGTAGACAATTTTATATTTCTAAGCATGGTTCGAATGCCAGAGAAAACAGTACTAATAATCCGAGAGGAAAGAAGCTGAATTTTATAGCCCAACAAGTGGCGAAATTGATAAAGCTTAGGTAGAATAATTCTTATCAAGGAAAGTTCCTATAGATTAATACCATTTCAGCTTATTAAGAGATTCTGATTGTTTATATTCTTTTAGCTCAGGTCTTGAACCTGTGATCTAAGATTCTAAGAAATTCTTTTGAGATCAATCATTTAAGACAAATGAAGACTTAATAAGACGTAACAAACTATTCCAATTTAAATTTGCTCACTTTTCTCAGAAAAAAACAAATGGTTTCCATCATTTTGGTCAATTACTTAAGTTTATTAAGATCATTTTGTTTCATTTGCATTGTGCATATAATATTGTAGATTCTGCGCTTTGCTTCGATGAGCAAATCATCATTCAGGACGGCCAGCTCTTTGGTCACAAATTGGCCAAACTCTTCAGCTGATGTCTGTCTATCACTTGCGCAGTTTGAGTTCTCTGCTGGTTCCACTTTCTCTACTCTCTCTACTTTAAAGCTTGTCATGCTAGAATCAATATCAATTGAAGGGCTGGAAGGACACGGCTGGGTGCAATCCTCAAACTGATGGACAACTGAATCGTTGGAGTTTGTAGGATTGTCGATTAACTCTACTTTTGGCTGCATCTCGCTGAGCCAGGGAAAATCGTCCTCAGAGCTGTTGCTGGTCTCGGGAAAAGGCTCGAACCTAATGGGCTCCAGGGGGCTCAAAAGCTGACCCAATTTGGCATAGTGAATCCACTCCGACTTATCACCCACAGCATTGCGCTGACCCCTGTAGTAAAGCCAAATCAAATAATAGATCTAAAGGGCATAAGGAGGAGATACTCACCTAAAGGTGCGGGTCAGGGATTCCATCTTTGACTTGATATCATTTGGCGTCACATAGAGACCAAGACCGCAGAGCTCTTGTTCCATGTCCTTGTAGACATCCATCTTTTTGCGCTCACTCAGTAACTCGGAGTTGAACTGCTCCCACACGTTAACAAATGTGATTTCCTCAGCGGCGTACCAGAATCTTCGTTGCTTCGCAGATGTCTGTCTGACTCTTTGTCTCTTTTTTTGGGCCGCTGTGCTCTTCTTCGAGCGTTTGCCCTCCTCACTCTTGAAAAGATACTTGGGACCCTCCTCCACGTAGACAGAGCTAAAGGGTCCGTCTGCAAGAAATACCGTTTACTAAGAAGGCTTGAGAAGGATGCTAAGAATTAAACAAACCAGAATCAAATTGCGCGTCATCGTTCATATAAATCGATTTATTTTGACGATCTGAAAGTAGAAACATTAAAATATTTCCAAAAATACTACGAGTGAGATCTTACGGTGACTATTTACGTCGTCCCAGTCGGGATCCTTGGCTAATCCTTTGGAGGTGGCTGATATTATGGTGGCCATCGTGTCGAAGTGCTCCCAGGAACTCGATTGATCGTGTCGGTCAGCATGCAGCAAACTGGAATTGGAATGATATTTAAAACTAAGCTCAAAGTTTGACAATTAGATTTAAAATACAGACTTGAAATACTTTCGCTTCAAAGATTCCATTTTGCTCTTGATAACTTGGCCGTTTATATCGATGCCCACTTCCCGGAAATGTTTCCGCAGCTCGGCATAAATTTCCACCAATTTTCTACGACCGTCGAACAGGTACAAGTTGTTTTTCCATATCTCGATGAAGCAGTCCTCCTCCGAAGGCTGCCACTTCCTCCGGCCGGGCACTAAAGGCGGGAATAAGTCGGGATTGTGCCAAAAATATTAAGTTAAAACGTTGTACTTACTTTTTGAACGGAGTTTTGTTTTGTTTACAATTTTTTTATGGCTAGTATGACCGTACCGAGGAATGCCAAAAATACCAAAACACATGTGCCAGGGATGCAAGTGCAATTAATATATATACAAAAAAACAAAATAAATTTACATACTTTAAGTTTATTAAATATTCCGATATGCCATCAAAATCTTAATTCATTTAAATTAAAATTAAACAAAAAATTTGAATCCCATTTTAAAACATTATATAAATAATACCAAATATTTTTAAAATTCGATAAATATCGATTAAAGGAATGCCATACCAGGGATACACAGGGCAGCCATTCAATTAATAGGGCGCCAAACTTCAAAGTTACTTTTGGATTTTGAGACCACTTTTTATATAGCGATATTTCAGTACAATTTTCTAACAGAGCAAATCTTTGTCATATGAATACAAATATTATATTGACCCATTTTCCCCAAAACAATTATAAACTTTCGTTTTGAATAAAATTACGTAAATACATAGTTTATTTAAATGTTTAGTGTAGGCTTTAAAACTTATTTACATGGTTGTGCAGCAGCGATACAAGTATTCCCGTGTGTGTTGGGCTTTACAAAATACATAATAGGTACTCGTACGTTAATAAATATATTTGTGTGTGGGTGTGTACTCTCCTTGCCACAGCAACATTTCAAAACCATGCATTAAGGACACTCGGTTTTATCCCCACCTCGACTACTCCCAGCTTGATTTAGGACTGACTACAAAATAGATTTTTGGTTCGCTTAGTGCTAGATTGATTCGCTTAGGACCTAGGGGGTGTGTACGAACGTAAGGACTCGACACTCATAAGGGTAATACAGATTTTACACAAGCAGCATTAGATTTGCAGTATATATAGGATATATAGTGCATCAAGTGAGGCCTAAAAGTGATGCGGTGAATGAGAGCTATTCGAAGATCGAACTATTTGTGTGTATTTTCCGGTTGCTTTCTATTTTTACTAGGAACGTTGCAGAGCAATGCCAAGAAGCAGAAGAAGCGCGTCTTACAAATAAATAAATATACAATTGCAAAAAGTAAATCGGTTACCTAAACTAACTTACACGTTTATATCACTTTTCGCAAATAATTCGTTTCATTAAATTAATTTGAGGCCTTCGCATGAATACAAATAATGGTAGTGGTTACATAACTAAAACGCGTATTTTTTGGTTGAAATCAATTTGAGTTTTCCCCATTGGCTTAGAAGATGTTGATCTGGAACTCGCTGACAATGCCCTCCAGGAAGACCTTCAGGCTGTCGTAGGAGTGCTTGCGCCAGTAGATGTTGTTGTTCACCTGCTCCAGAGCCAGATTAATGGTGGATTCCACGGCCCGCAGGCCCAGCTTGCGGCAGTTGGCGGCCAGGTCCTGTAGCTTGTGCTTATGGTAGTCCCTGTTCATGTAGACGGTCAGCGATTTGATCATGGCAGACACAGTGGAGAAGCCATCGCCATAGCTGGGGGGAATCACAAACAAAGTTTATAAATTTGTGGATTTCGTTTAACTATAGAATCCTTACTATTCGGCAATCTCCTTGATGTTGCTCTGCAGAAAGTCAAAGGCTAGCTCATGGCCCACGGCATTGTAGGCCACAGCCATGAAGGCCCGGTCTCCATCCTGCTTTAGGATGCCCGATGTGGGATTAATGGTCATATTGAGGTACCTATAAAAAGGAATCTATTGAAATCTTGGTCTAACCAACATCTTATTGACACTCACTTGGACAGCAGCCAAGGCTTGGTGGTGCAACCCAGCGAGCCCAGGATCTCCTCCTTCTCCGAGGCACTCGTTGTCGTCTTGTACTGCTTGTAGGCGAAGTACCACTCCTGGAAAGAGCCCTCCGCCAGAGCTGTGCAGTAAATCACTGACTTGAGATTCGGCTTGATGCTGTTTACAAAGAGATTATATTAAGAGAGTTTATTTTTTTAGGAGGTGTGTTAAACTCACGGATTCTTCTTGGGATCCCGCATCCACTCCCGGAACTTCATCTGGGCCACTTGGGTGCAGCGATCATAGTTGAATTTGCAGGCCAAGTTGGCCACCAAGGCTCGGTGCTGCAGCTGTAGATGCGACTCATTGTCCGGCTCATTCAGACCATACCGATCAAAGGCGGGGCGTACAATAAACTTCATGAAGGCCTGATCCAGAGGAATAATATAAATATATTTAAAATAAAATTTTAGAGAATAATATCAATGGATACCCACCCTAAATGTCTCATAGGCAGGCTCTCTCTTGAGGTTGTTGGCCAGAGAGTTGAGTCCCCGGTTGGCGGCGCTCCACAGCAACTCGTCGTCCACAGCCGTGAATAGCTCCATTAGGAAGGTCAAACTAAGGGAATTACATTACATTTATTTAATTTAACATTAAAAAAATAATGCTTTGATTCTGAAACTCACGGTATATCATAGGTCAGGTACTCCGCCTGCGCCAGGTGCAGGGCATCGTCCAGCAGCTGGGCCCGGGTTATCCTCGGCAGCATGCTAAAGTTCTTCTTGAGGGCCAGCCAGGAGGTCAGGTCGTAGTTGACCCGGTAGTAGCCCTGACGGTTCAGATTCAGATAAATCACGTTGTCGTTATTGGCACTGTTCGTGAAGACATCGCTCACGATGAGCTCCTCCTCGTCCTGGCTACGCATCCAGTGTGTTGGGACATTGTCGCCCTTGTGCAGCTCGTCAGTCTCAAAGGTGATGGGTATAAACCAGCGGCTCTGGTCCGCAGGGTTCTTGGTGGGCAAAAGGTACCTCTCCTGGCGCAGCACCAAATCAACGCCTCGACGCTCCACATTGACCACGGGATAGCCGGGCTGCGTGATCCATGAATCCATAATCTGCTTAATAGACAAATCCTTTGGCAGCGTGCCCTGCTCGTGACCATGTTGCGTGAGGATGGCCCACAGGTCATCTCTGTCGATGTTGCCATAGGCAAACTTCTTTAGCAGATCCCGAGTGGCCGAGCGGAAGGCCTCTTCACCCACAATCGAGTTCAACATGCGCAGCAGGATCGTGCTCTTGGAGTAACTAATCGGGTTGAAGATGCGTTGGACATCGCTAGTGGAGCGCACCTCGAAGGAAATGGCGTGGGTGGTATTGTCCGAATCCAGTTCCATGGAAGCGGAAAACTCCGAGACGGTGAAAGTGTCCATTACCTGGAACTCTGGATGGGAGAACTCCAGGGCCTTAAAGCTCATGTAACAGGCGAAGCCCTCCTTCAGCCAGAGATCGTCCCATCTCTTGGGCGTCACCAGGTTGCCAAACCACTGATGGGCCAGCTCATGGGCAACAATATCGGCCACGAATTGCATGTGATACGAAGAGGAGGCCAACTCCAGATCCTCGGGCACGAGCAGCGCCGAGTCCCGGAACGTAATCAATCCCCAGTTCTCCATTGCCCCGAATCCGAACTCTGGCACGGACACCAAATCGATCTTGGGCAGCTGGTTCTTTATGCCAAAGTAATCCTCGTAGTAGGGCAGGAACTTGCGCACCATCTTGTAGGCGTAGTGGGTCATCTCCACATACGGCGATCTTGTCCAGAGCTCCACTCGTGGCGCCATCTCACTGTCTAGCTTAGCGTATTGCGAATCCACCATGTTGGACACGATGAAGGCCACCAGGTATGTGGGCATTTTGGGAGTAGTGAGGAAGTCATCCCTGATGTAGCCAGGTCGGTAGCGAGTGGTATGCGCCTTGGGCATGTTGGACAGGGACATCTTGAACTCGGTGCTCCGGATAATGCTGATGGTGAAGTTGGCCTTCATGTCGGGACGATCGAAGCAGGGAAAGGCTCGGCGAGCATCGATGGGAGAGAACTGTGTGCTGATTACCCATCTGAAGGTGGGGAGAGTTTTGGTTAGTAATTGGAGAACTTATTGCTTAATTAATATCACTTACTCAGTCTTCTTGGTGTCTGGATTAATGTAGCTGGTCTTGTAGACGCCCTGCAGTGTATCCGTCAGCTGGCTGACAAAGTCCAGGCTCAGGAGCAGTCTTAGCTGTGTCTCCCCCGACAGGGCCTTGTCCAAACCGATCACAAAGGTGCCATTCTCATCGCCATAATCGCTGTCAAAGTCCACCTCCTGCTCGTCACTGGCATTGCTGGTCCTGCCCGGCAGTGGAGCACGTATTACCCTTACATTGGAGATGCTTACGTTGTGGACATCAAGCACAATGGGCTCCCAGCTGGTCACCTTGGACATATCCCGTTCGATCTCGATGGTCAGGCTGCCATTGCTGGCCGACACCTCCACATGGGGCTCGATGAGCAGGCTGCCAGAGAGGAGGAGAAGGCATCATCATATGTTACTTGTTGGTATCACAAAAATAGCTTGCCAGATTGCAGGTGAAATGCAAATGGCTGCCAAAAATGTCAGGTTGGCCACGTCAAAAGTGCCAATCAATCAATCAGTCGTCGCGAGTTCAGGCAGGAGAACACAGTGTGCACATGTGTTTGGCACCCATTCGGGTGCACATTCGGGGGCAATGCAATTCCCATTGCGATCTGCCTCGAACTTCGAACGCAGCCATTAGTCGGGGATGGCGGCAAATGAAATGCATGCCATCATAAGTCGCCATGGCAATCAAAGCCTAACAAGAAGCGCGATAATTGGGTGTTCAAGTTTATGGAAGATGGAATACCCTATTCATGGTCCCCCTATATAAAAAATCTATTCATTTTTTAACACATTCTCCCATAAACCAAGCTCTTGCCAAGCTCTAACCAATTCAATGCTCTACAGGGTATTCCTCTTAGATTAAATATCAATTCCCCCTTTGCACGAATGCCAAGAATGCCGCAGACCCACTGGCAGATGCGGCCTGCCGGAGTTCCAGCCTCCATCCTCCATTCACCATTCTATAGGCCGCCGCCAATCTGGAATCCCCTGGGTGCTGCCTTTGCGCCTAGTTGCAATTAATTGAGGCGATTGGCTTACAATGCGTGCGCTTGGCGCAACCAGGAAGCGGGCTTCAAGCAATTTGCAATGGCTATGCGAGTGAGAGAGTATCTTGCAGATACTGGTCAACAGTGTTGCTTTGATCGGCAGCTGCAAAATCAGTTGCCATCGATCCTCTGGATGGTGCAGCACTTGGGCTGCACTTGCCGCCATCCATCAAGCATCGATTGCCCAGACTTCTCTACCGACTTTTCCCTCCAGCTTCTTTCCTGACTTTTCTGTTCCTTCTCTCGCAACTTTTCCCCAGAGTCTATGGCTGCGTGCGGTGCTCAAATTAATGCCCAGCTTGGGCTTTCTGTGTCAATTATATTAATGCAATGCGGCTACCGCGGAGCCGCGCATCTTCATCTGGCCAAAGTATCTGCCATCTCCTATCGGAGCATCTACCCCGGCGCAAGTATCTGGCGCATTATGTCATGTCGACAGTCGGCGTGCGTTTATGGTTTCTTTAGATCTATGCCGCCTTTACTCTAGAGTGTGACCGACTGACGGCTGGTCTTAGGTGGACATCTCCTGTGGCGACCTAAACAAGCTGCTTGTTGGCCACTTCAAGTGGCTGGTGTCCACCTCGGAGCAACTGAACTGCGACGGCTCAATCCTTGACCCAGTTTTTTAGGTAACAGTGGTAATAGAAAAATAAACGTGTACACACGACCCCACAACTGTGACGTCAATGCACAGTGGTTGGGCTTGTATGGAGACGCGGCCAAAAATAGTTCTAGTTGATGTATCGTTACGAAATTAATACCAAAAATCAAGAAAAATGTTTTAAGTATATGTCCAAAAAATTGGCCATGTAGCACGTCTATATCATATAGCTGCCATAGGAAAAATCTGTTAAAAATCAACATTTAGTATGAAAAACTTTTTTGTTTTTCAAAATATCTTAACCAATTTCACAGATAATATGTTTGAAACAGGTTTATGCATTCTTACCAAATTTGGTTAAAATCGGATGTCTATATCTTATAGCTCCCATACAAAATTTTTATAAAATTATTTTTTTCCAAGAGCTAAAATTAATTTTTTATCTCTTATTGAGAATGTTGGTGAAATATAAGTGTCCAAAAGTAAAAAAAAAATTATTAACTTATATATTGTGTATTTTATTTGTTTAGCAACAAATGCACACAGCTTAAGGGGCGTAAGGCTAATTCGGTGCAAAACTGCCCACGGTTCAAAAAAATGTTTTGGCGAAACGGCTAAAGTTAGCTTAATGATTTAAATACCATAAATTAACAAAACATTTGAACCATTTTTTTTTTTAAATTTTTGTATTAAAAAATTATTTACAGGCCTACGCTATATTGCTAATCTCCTAAGTCCCCACAAATAAAAGTTGGTTTTCGGTGTACATCCTAACTGTCCACAAAAACGTCCGATATCAAAAAAATGTATTGCATTCCTTAAAGAATTAGTGCCCCAAGGTACTTAAGAGACGTTTTTATTTTTAAAAATTTTTCCCGAGTTTTTATCAAAATTGGAAGTCAAAACCCCGATTTTCGACTCAAAAATTAAGTTAATTTAAAAAAATATATATATTAACATTAACAATTTAAAAAACCTTTACGTGAGTACCTGTACAATTAAATTTCAAAGTTATGTTCAAAATTTCAAACCGATTGGTTAAGTAGTTTTTGAGTTATAGAGTACACCGATTTTCAAAATGGCATTTTTCAGGAGAACGCTTTAAACTTTGTGATTTTCATACATCGAACACCAAACGACTTCCGTTCAACTACCCATAACTTCGTCAATATTGTAATAATCGATGTAAAACTTTTACACAATATTTTAAGGATATTAAACCCTTATTTAACAAAAAAAAAAAAAAAAAAAAAAAAAACCAAAAAAAATTTAAAAACCTTACCCTAACCTGTGTTAGTATTTTTAAGATTATAGGCACATAGGCAAATTTCGGCAAAATTTTTTTTTACCATTTGTCATCTTAAAAGCGCGACAAACACATTGGCATACATATGAACTGTAGATTATTGTGGGGTCACAACTATAACTTTAGCTAAACATAAAAAATACGTTTAAAATATAGGCCAGAAACATGATTATTTCACATGAATATAATGAACACAATAATTATTTTTAATATATTAAATAATATCTCATTTTATAGAAAATACCTTGAACTTCAAAATCCATTACAAAAAATATTAATTTGGACACGTAATTAATAATCGGACCACTTCAAAGTTAGGTTTGGTTGTGAAACACTCGCGATGCGCGTAGCTACGCTTTGCAAATGAATACATCTTCACATCTTTAATTTAATTTTTAGAAAGTCCTGTTAGATTTAAAAAAAAAATCTGGTATGCCACAAAGAAGTTTGGATATTTAAGAGACGATCTGTTTACTTTTCGTACATTTTTGTTGTAATAAATTTTTTTATTTTTGGCCTATGGGCGCAACCACTGTGCAATGGGGGTTGACTTGGGGCGGATGCGAGTGTAACAGTTCGCGGGTCTTAGGCGATGCCAAGGATAAAGATAAGGGGATAAAGGAACAAGGATATGTCAAGGGGTGGAAAGCGATATTTATGAGTTAGGGCCTGGCAGAAGTTTGGCCTCTTAATCCCATTACAATGTATTAGCATTTGGAGCAAGGAAGGAAGGTTCTATAAATAAATGTCCGGGTACAACTTGGGCCTGCTTCCTGGTAATATCGAAGGGTTGAAAGGAGAAAACCATGATTTGCATTTATAAATATTTTTATACAATAGAACAAAATCTGTATTAAACTGAGTTAAAACTTGATTGAAGACCTATTGAAACTCTCTATAGTTTTGACAACATAACTAGCTCTCAAACTAACCACTTTTCATCTTATTTATCACTGAATACCCTTTCTTATTCTGCACTTAAAACCCTCTTAAAAACCTGATATTTAATTGCTATGATTTCCCACATTCTGGACAGCTCTCCTAAGCGTCTCTAGTTAAACGATTTAGTTATCAAACTAATATCACTTGTCAGGCGGTTCTCTTAACTTGTCACAACACAGCACATCACGATAGATGCACTTTGGTCAAGCAAACTGATTAAGAGCGCCGTCAACTGTCGGCGGGACATGACCTGGATCAATTCCGGCATTATTTCCAACGACAGCCAAGAGATACAGAGAGCCGGAAACGCCGGGGAGATCTGAGTGAGCAATTTGAGTGTCAGTTGGGATTGCATCTTTCCTCGAATCGAAAGGCGAACATGCAAAGCAATTTTAGCAACACAAGGAGCTCTCTTGACGGGCGGTGGTGATTTTCATTAGGGGAAATTGCGGCTTAAGTGGGAAATTACTTAGGGAGCCACCATAACCACCCCATTAATGGCACATTATTTAATCAACTCACCTGTAGTGCAGGGGCCGCCAGCCTTCGTACAGCTTGAGGGGTCGATCCGTGGGCTTGGTGGTGTTATCCTCAATTTCTGTTGCCGGCACTGGTATGTCACCCACTGGTGGAGCCACCGCCACCTTCTTCTCTGGTTCCACAATGGGCGGTAGCTCCGGGGTGGGTGGTGCACTCGTGGTTGGTGAGGGCGTGTCCACTTTCGGAGGCGGCGGGGAGTTAACACTCACCCAGCCGGCAGTTTGGATGGGATGATCGGCGGCTGATGATGGGTTGATGCAGCTGTAAGGAACGGAAGAGGTAGAACCAGTTGGTAATCAAGTTTGAGTTTATGCAAAGAGTCACACCCAGTTCTCGGAGGGACCCTTCCCTAAATCGCTTTCACTTTCACTTTCCCAATGAGGTCATGTCGTCTCTCCTTCGACTGCCAATTAGCACACTTGCCAAAACGTTTAGCAAAAAATGCAAAACGAAACCACAGAAAACAAATACCCGGAGAACACTAAATAAGCATAGCCACGCCCGGATTTCATTTGGGTTTCGGTTTACACCCATCACACAACTCACCCGGAACCCACTTCCTTGGGGCTGATTCCCTGCCGGGTCACAAAGTAGGTGATTGCAATGGAGAAGAGCAGGGCCACCAGAAAGATGAAGGCGGCGATGACCAGGCAAGCCTTGGAAACATAAACCCCCGACGGAGGTCCATTGAAAACATATTTTTGGCCGTTTTTGGTCTTGAGTTGACCGCCTGGAAAGGAAATAAAAATGCGTTTTAATAAGGACAGTTTTAAATATTTTGTAGGATAGGAGATTGGTTAAAGAAATAACTGTTTTAAATATAATAATATTACGGTATCAATAAGAAAAATAATTTTTTATAATATTTTCCATTTAATTAAATTTAAATTTAAAGCGTTTATTACAAAAATTCCCTTAAGTTTGATAATATTTTTTAAAGACCTGAAACCACTCATAAATCCCATGTTTTATTCATATTTTTTGTGGCTTTTCTCTCTTCCCTTCACAGAAAACGAGAAAGAACTTTATAGGCTGTCAGAAATTATCACACCCTCGTTTATTTACACAGATGTATGTATCTTTCACGTCTCGGCCATAAAGTTTATGCTTTGTCCAATTAATTGATTGTTTTCAGTGCATTCAAAAATTGTTTATAGATCTTTGTATCTAATTATTTCGGATTGGAAATTCCTCACATGCCGTTGCAGCATATGAATATATAGGAGAATCCACGATGTAAACAATTGATGGCAACATCAAACTGATTTATAGCATAATTTGGCCAAGAGTCGAGTGCTTGAAAAAGTCAAAATGTTAGCGGCCCATTTAGCGGGGCGTCGACAACGACATGTGGAAAACCGATCTACCCTGCAGTGCCTTAAACTGATCGTTAAACTCGCTCTTTATGGCAAAAAATTCAAGTTAAGGGGAAAATTAATGTTTAGCTCATTCTAAAAGGGCAAAACAGTTTGTTAAACGAAGAAGTACTTAAGTGTTTTGGGCTTGAAGCCAAAACGTATGATCACAGTGGCAAGGTAAAGTATAGTGAGTTGAATATTTATGTAATAATTATTAATATTTCATTAGTTGGTGATAAGATTTTATTGGAAAACTACCTAAAATTGTGACTACGAATACATTTTCTTTATTGATTCTTAAAATAGTTGTTAATATAATTCTAGGAAAATTCTAAGCTAAATTTTAAACAGAAAATACTCTGCTTTTATTGCAGATTAATGAGTCATTATCTTAAATTTTTTTACCGAAAAACCTCACATTTTCCTCGTATTCTTATCTAAAAAGTTAAGCTACTAAGTGTATGATGGGCCATGCTAAAACAAAGAGATAAGATGGAAAATATACTCCTGATAAGCGAAAAATTCGTACTTTGCGGAAGTAGATAGCCAGCGGCTATTATCATAATAATGATAAGGTAAGCAGACTTGCCGCACGCACTGTACGTTGCCACTGTCAACGAACGGGAGCAGAAATAGCAGCACGTGCTGGGAATTTTCAATTAGCCGATTACCATTACCATTTCTATTTCTCGCCTGGCCTTCACCGAAGGAGGCCTAAAAAACTCACAACTTTTTTTTTATGACGTGTGCGCATGGCACTTTTATAGGAAAGGCATGGACAAAGTCAGTGACTCTTTCGAACGGCACTCGTATCTTGTTTTAATTAAATTTCACTAAGAGCCCAACCATGTTCCGTGAGGCTTTCTAACGCACTTTCCGCCCCATTCACCTCTTACACCTGTGGCAATGCAGTTCTGCATTCCAACATACATATGTATGTTGGGACCATCCCCTCCTCTTATTCCGGGAATCTCCTGCAGCTTTGATCTCCAACCATGCTCCGGTGGAATTTATGTGGTGCAGCCGAAAATAAAAAACCAACTGCACCACCTGCGGCTGCGAGCGACACGGGATCACTGATAAATCAGTTGTCAAGAACTATAACTCAGCGATACTGCACACGCCCTGAAAGCTTTTCAGAATTTTACCCGATTTTCCATTTTCTCATTTTAGTTTTTCCACATTTATTTATCGTTTGCTTGTGGGGGAGTGGGAGGTGGGAGGTGGCAAAGATCTCGTCTTGATGAACACATGTTAACCTCAATTTCCTGTATGAGCAGGAGGGTGTGCGTGTTGCTTCATTAGCGGCGGAAAACTAATAACTCCATCCATCGCCAACTCCATGCCCCTCCAAGAGACACGATTTAATATTCATAAGTCGAAGTTTAAGTAGCGTCAAGCGACAATAAAACATTCTAATTAAGCTGGTTCGCCGGCTCTTTTTGAATGAAGTGAAATTCACTCTGTGGGTGTCAAGCGTGAGGCGCCATCAAACTTGGGGAGACACCCACGGGAATTCGTTGGGATTAGGGCCAGATCGACGTTAATGTGGGATTGCCGAACCCGTAAAACTTAACTAAAATGGTTAATGAAAATGCTAATTTGGGTTGATTAAAAGCCGGGATCATCTGGAGCGATCTAAACACAATATGCATACAAAGTGTTCAGCCCAAAGGTTGAACCGAAACCAATAACATCATTTAAATACCAAAGTCGACAAAGTGTTTCCGATGAGTTCTTTTTTATCTTGAATCCATGTTCTAGTTTTGTGTTGCTGCTAAAAAGAAATTAGTCATGGAATCTCAGTTATATTGTTTTTAAAATCAGCTCTTGAAACCTTATTTATTTAATAATGAGTAAATAAGAAACACTTTAAAAGAAGAATTTATATTGAGAGATAGAAAGTAATCGTGTGGAAAATATCCTAAAGTTCGATGAATCGAAAATTGAAATATTTTAAAAGATTTCATTAAACATTATATCTTAATATATTAAGTACTTGTTTTCACGCTAATAATATTAATTTTCAATTTTGAAACATACCCAAAAATCTGTCCTTCGATATGTAATCGAAATGAAATCGTTTTCTTATATTTTTCGTATCGTCGAATTTAAAACTACGCAATTTGGCAACAAATCCGTGGAAAGGACCACCGCCTGCCGGAGCGGCGGAGGCTGCTGATGATGAACCTGGCGGTGATGATAATGAAGCAGAAGCAGATGCGGATGCGGATGCGGTTTTGGATGCAGATGTCGGAGTGGCTGCTGGTGCTGCTGATGTTGTGGTGGTGGTGGGCGCGTAAATTGCGGACGCCATTAATGGGATTTGCAGTTTGGGATTGGTATAGGATATGATGGCTGCATTGGAAGTAAAAGGAGTAGAAGAAAAGACAGAGAGCAAGCTAAAGTTAAAGCCGAATGAAAAGCAAGGTGAAATGGTTAATATTAATAAGCGAAATGATAAAGGATCGTGATCATGTGCGGAGGGAAATTAAAATTAAAAGCAAAAGTAGAACTCGAATCGTTGACATTTAATCAAATCAACGGGAAATTGGGGTGTGGAAAATGTAATGAAAATGCGTTCAGTGGCACGTGTCGTTGTATGGGGTCCGTTACACTGTCTCCCTCGCCCATTTGATTTTCCCTGCATCCCAATTTTCCCCTCTCGATTTCTCGCTTTGTTATTTGCCAGCGATGCGTGAGTGTAAATTGCACAGAATCATTTGCCGATTGCCGGCGCCAAATGTTTGAAATATCGCTAAAAATATACACACATTTGCACAATGTATGAAGCACATGCATTCGGCGAGTGTGTGTGTCAGCGCCTCGGTGTTATTCAACTTTGCCAGATCGGCAGATCGGTAGATCGCCAGCCGCTGCTATAATTAGCCATAAGGAAATTTTAATTCTCAAATGATTTTTGCACTATTATAGAATAACAAGAGTGGGAATAATGGCAGACAGAAATGTTGCTGTGAGGAAGAGTCTATTTATGGATACCCTAGAGATGTTAGAAACATATTTCCCCAATAATAAATCAAATGGAAGTCTAGAGGAATCAATTTGGTTGTAAAGCAACCGATTCAAACATGATTTTAAACTAATATATAAATATTTAATCTTTTGGAAGATAAACTTTAAAATTTAAAGAATATTTTCCCATTGTTTTAAGACCTCTTAAATGTCTCAAACTAGTTCTAACTATCAAATGAATCCAAATATTTTTTTAAGATCCATCAATTTGCTGTTTCCCAGACACCGAACACGCTTAAAGCACCCCTCATAAAACCCCGATGAAGTACAAATTTGCCCAAGATATCACATTTATAATAATTCCTAGCACATTGTGGATCCAAATCCAAGCCAAAAACCGATAAATGAATCATCGAATCAGTGGATCACTCAAATGAAACGAAACGAAACCGAATGCCCAACAACCAACACCTATCGTTCCCCCGATCCCCGCCAGATTGAGTAGTTTTATGATACTGGTTCTGGTTTTTGGCTTGGGTCGTGCGACGTTAAACGAATTCGAAAATGAACTTAACTCATAAAAACTTAAATGTGGCAACTGTTTGCATTTCGCGAGCAAACACACGAGAGATCGGTTTACTTGCTCGAAATTACTCGGGGTTGCGTGGATCGAATTACCCGTCGTCGAGGAGGGTTGGAGTCGGAGTGGTGAGGAGTGGAGGGGACACTCCACTCCATATCTTAATGACTCAATCATGCGTTAAATGCCAAAACATAGCCGGGCCATGTATGTTCACCAAACACTTCCATGCCGCTAACAAGAGTTCAATAGCAGCAATAACACAAAATTTGATTACTCGACTTTGAACTTGGGGGGAAGTACTTTGTTGAAGCAATCATTTTACGCATTTTTAAATGGTTTTTTCTTTCAGCGGAATCGATAATATAATATCATAAAGGGAAATGCTAAAAATAAATGCTACAAATAGCAGAACATTAGGAAAAAGAAACCAGTCTGGAGAGATTTTACATAGATTTTCTCAATTGTTCACAGCTTATAAAAACTAATTACCACTTTTAAGAAATATTAAACTGAAACTTTTTAAAAGAAATTTAAGCCTTTCTAGAATTAAAGGAAATTTTAATTAATATATCAAAGCAATATAACTTTTATTGTTCTTTTGGATAATATCAAAAATAAATGTTTTATTTCAATAGACCTTTCGAGAATTGTATATCAAGTCCCTGAGGATCCACAGTGGTAAAAACCAATGATAAAAACCATTCTAGATCCTCAGGGACTTGACATAAAAAAAGTAAGAAACTTTTAGAAGCCGACATTTATATACCCTTGCAGTTTGCATGTACATCCAAGAACTGCTAAAAAAATTGTTCATATAAATAATTAAATCTACATTTTTATATAGGAATTTTTCATAATGGGAAAATAAACATTGTTAAATATCATAACTAAGCCGAAATTCATTTAAATTCAATTCGGAAAGCTCTACTGTGGTGCTTTTTTTTAGCTTTATAAATTATATTAATTTTGAAAATTAAAATATTGTTGATTTTTTACAATTCTATCAATGTTACCCCTTATAAATATTTAAAAAAAATTTATGAAAAAAAGTTTTCTTCCGAATTTAGCTAGATAGTCTCGGCTGTTCATGCTGATCAAGAATATATATGATTTATAGGGTCAGAAATGACTTCATCACTGCATTTAAGGATTTTAACTAAAATTATAATACCCTCTAAGGGTATAAAAAGAAGGCAGAACCACACGCACAACAAATATTAAATTGCGAAAGAAACCCCAAAGAGCGATACATAAATTCTTATCACTGCGTTGACATTTAATTGGAAAGAAATTGTCGCATTTACGTCATCAAAGGGCTTTCTTCTGGCCTCCCCACTGGCCCTACTTTGTACATGGTGTTGTTGGCTGCTTTCATTCATATCTTATCGGATCCATCGAAATCACAGGCAGGCAAACAAGAGTTTCTTTCTTTCTTTTCCCCAGTTTTTCTTTTTTTCTTTTTTTGTTAATTGTGCATGTTGGAGCAGAGTCTTCCCCCAGCCCTTCACACCTCAGCGGAGTGCAATTCAATTTCGTATCCGTTCGCTGTCCGTGTCATATTTAATGATAACCCATTTTTCCCAAAAGGGGTTCAGGGCGGTATGTGGGTTACGTAAACACAACTTCTGGTCATGCTTACAAGTGAATTTCATTCAGCGGCCCAGACAAAGATGCCCCAACCACGATAGCCGCTGTGTGATCCCTTTTCACGCTTTTTTTTTCGAGAGGGTCTTTAAAACATGGCCCAGTCATCCATTAGTGCTCGCCACATGTCAGGGATCTGTCTGCAGCTTTTTTGCATTTCCTTTTCTTAAAAAAAAAACCTCACTGACCTAATTCCTGGGGGAAGGAATTCCTTCAAGAAGGAAGTTGCCTTAATTAGCAGCAAAAACTTGTCAGTCTGGTTGAAGAAAATCAAAACACATGGTGTGCTCTTCAGGAATTGCGTTCTATCTGGGTCAACATGTGTAAGATCGAAGATATGGTATATTCTTACAAGACAACGAAATTATGTCACATCAACGAGCTCAAGTTAAACTTTTTAATTGGCGCTCACTTAAAAGATTAAATAACATTTTATGGGAGTTTTTTGCTTGCTTTACCCAGCTTTTTTATTTGTTTTTATTCCCTTTTGCAGAGGCAGCCAAATTGTCTGGCTTTTAACAATAACAAATTGTCAATTGCTGAAATGTTTATAGTACTCGCCCGGCACTCGGGCGAAAGTTGAGTGAACTCCACCGGCCAGAACGTGTCGAGGAACTCCAATCGAGCTGCTGCTGCTGCTGCTGCTTTTATTTTTCCCCATTTTTCCACATTTTGCATGCCTCTAATGAACCATTCAGGCATTGATTAAAGGGAGTGGAAAGCCGGGGAATATTCTGCGGAAACGTCAGCCAGTTCCAGTCCCAGTCCCAGCCCATACATAACTTATGAAACTCCAATTGCTAATGTTGCATGCGCAGAGGTAATAAACAATTCATTTGTTGTCGCATCAAAAAAAAAAGAAAGAAATTCTAGAAAAAAAAAGAACTCTCATCCACGAAAAACCCACAGCCACAATGTTTATTTGGCTTCTATCTTTGTTCAGCATTAGCTTTGACGCCTCGACAAAAAATTGTTTACTTCTGGCCGAGCTTGACCTAATGCATTTGCTTTGATTTCAGCCGCTCCAGCTCCATTTGGTTTGAATTTCGTTGAATTGCAGAGTTTTAGAGAAAGATAAACACACATAAAAGTGAAACACGGCATTAGCATAACGCACCGATTTGATTTGTATTTTAATATTCAATATTTTCCAGTTGCAAAAGGGAAAACAACGGCTAATGAAGTCGTTCAGACAATGCAGTTAATTATGCGATCCGGCGGAGATGGCATGTCAAGTTCCAGATGTGCTTTGGGTCACATTTCCGGTAGGGAGAGGAGCACTAAAGAAGCCAAAAACCAGTCGCTTTATTTGCAGTTACCCAACGGTAGCCAGAAAAGCAGGGAAAGAATTATGTGCCTCCAGACGTAATTATGATTGCGTATCACCACGGCCAGGGGCGTTGAATCCCCCTTCGAAGAGGCAAGCTGTCTGCTCCACAGATTGTGTCAACATGGATCCAACAGAACTTGCCACCTCTGGGAAGGGGGATGCCCAGCCACGACAACATTTGGAATCCAAATAACTTGTCTGCGACAAACAAGCCTTGGGATTTAAATGTTTTTTATGTCTTAGGCTCAGTCGGAGATTTATCATCAACACGGGGTCTGAATGCTTCTTCCCAGAGTTGGGCGTGGCAATGAGGCATATCCACCTCTGCATCCACTTCATGGGCCTCTGCTAGTCGTGCAACTCGAAATGCAATTCGTTTCACTTCACCAATTACCATAAGATTACCATTACTCCCAGGCAAAGCAAACAATTTTGCATGCCCAGATCAAGTGGCTGTTGAATATGAAGTTGAGATATGGAAATTCTCAAGGGGGAGGAGAGTGGAAAATGTCAAATGAAAAATGTGGAACAAAGTTCTTCAAGAAAAATTATTAAATACCACAAATTTAGGTTTTTAGGACTTGAAGAAAACATGAGAAATTACTGAGAGATTATCCAAGATTTAGTTACTAATTTCCAATAGTTTTTACTTTAACTTGTTCAAGATATTAAAATACTAAGTTACAAGCAATTAACAGCAGTAACAGATGAATATTAAAAATCCCTGTAAAATATTTCTTGTTACCTAAAAGCTTCAACAATTCTCGAAAAATATATAAATCAACGGTTAGTACCCGCATTAAAATTAAAAAATTGTATTACCTGTGC